GGCCATCAGGAGGCTGTTTCCCATCTCCTTTTATGGAAATGAACCCTCCAGGAAGGAGAGTAGTGAGAGCACATTAGAGAGGCAGGTGGCAGGGGAAACATGTCCCATGGGTTAGTCCTCACCATGATGTCACTTAATTGCCTGAATTGGGTGAGGGGGTCCTGAAAGCAACAGGAAGAAAATAACAACTTTTACCTAGCTACATGAATTCTATTGTTATCTTTAGATTTTTCCCTGAAATGGGATTTTTCTCAAATGCATATAAAATGATAGCCATTGGGAAATTGTTATGCCTCATCACTACATGAATGAATTTTATTTCTCTCTTAGATCTTCCTCTTTAGAGCCACAGTTACTGAAAACAAAACAAAAAAAAACAGCTGTCACCATCATTGAATTCTGACAGCAAATAAAGCCTCGTTAATGCTGTATATCAGAAAATAGTGCTTTATTTTACCAAGCATATTTAACCCTTTAAATATACCTCTTGAGAGACTTTGGTTTAGGAAATTGTGGAGACAATGGAAGAGAGAACAGAAAATACAGAAAAACGGGAAGTGTATGCTGGGTGTTATAGAAAGTTGACTCACCAGTGAATCTGCTTCCAGGATCAGCTTTTATTAGTAAGAGGTTTGTTTCTTTCCACCCCACCCACATGTAATAAATGCCAATATACATTTAAAGAATGTCATTTTATTGGGATGTAAATCGTTGCAGGTGCAGCCTCTATGGAAAACAATATAGTGGTTCCTCAAAAACTTAGAAATAGAACCACCATATGATCCAGCAATCTCATTTCCAATGAAAAGAAAAGCAGGATCTTGAAGATATCTGCACTCCCACGTTCATTGCAGCATTATTCACAGTAGTCAAGACATGGACACAAATTAATTGCCTCTTAGTGGATAAATGGATACAGAAAATGTGACACATATATCAGCATATTATTCAGCCACGAGGAAAAAGGAAATCCTGCTTTTTGCATCAATGTGGATAAAATTTCAGGCCTTTATGCTGAATGAAATCAGTCAGTCAGAGGAAGACAAATCTGTATGCTGTCACATACATGTGGAATCAAAAAAAAAAAAAAAAAAAGCCAAAGTCATAGAAAGAGTAGAAAAGTGAAGAAAAAAAAAAGTAGAAAAGTGATTTCCAGGGCATGGGGATGAAGGAAATAAGGGGAAGCTGTAAAAGAGTGAAAAAGAAAAAAAAAATGAAAAAAAAAAGGATCCCACAGGCTCTGGAGGGTAAGCTCCTGCTCAGAGTAGTCACCACTTCAGGCACAGGGTCTGGTCTTTCATATTCCCACAGAGTCAGGCATTGCTGGAGGCTGCAGATGAGCTGGGAATAGGGAACAGAAGTGCCCAGCCCTGACCTCTATTCTGGTAGGCAGAGCAACATCAGTGACTTGAAAAGAAGGTAGTTCTAGAGCAGTTGAGGAGTAGGAGCCCGGGGTGGGTGAAGGGATGCTGGGCATCTGGGCCCAGCACTGCTCACAAATGTAACTCATTGGTGCTGTTACAACCCTGTTTCAATGGAGAAGTTTCAATTAGATCAGAAGACAAGTGAGCTAGGCTGCTCCCCATTGTTAGACCAAAGCCATTCGTCAGTTGGAGACTTATAGAGAAGAAGGAAAACCCCCAGTCTCAGGCACATCATTGAAGTCCCCAGCTAGGGAACTCCAGCCAGGAAAAAGATTCCTGTCCCCTAACTCCTGAGCAGGACACTCGGGTGACTCACACTCAGCTCTATCTTACTGCCAACAGATCTGCACCTCCAGATTTGTTCACAAGGTTCTCCTTGGAAAAGCATCATGGTGTGGAGGAAAGGGTAGAGGCCTTGGCATCAGATCTGCATTAAATTAACTATTTAACCTTTCCTGTGAGCAAAATAGAGCTAATTTCTCTATTTTTCAAGGGTGTGGCAACAAATGGAGATGACCCATGTAAAGCACCTAGCCCACAGGAAATGCCATTATGTCCTGAATCACTGTTCCCTTGCCTTGAGTGATAAACCATATATGCCAGGCCTGGCACCCTGGATCCCTGATGGAGTAAGACTGTCTGGAACCCTTGGGAGGGATTTCTTCTCCTGGATTCTAGCACAGAGCTGCTATGTACTGGACTCTAGGCTCAGACCCCTGTCACCTGCCACCAGGCCTCCCTTCAAGACCCAGACCTCCATGAATATCTCCCACAGAAGATACTTTAGCCACTCCTCACACCCCCAAGGTCTTCAGCCAACACTGATTCCGATTGCCCACTAGGCATCGCAGGTCCCTCTCCTGTTGGTTTTGCTCCTTCTGATTGGTAGCATTCTGCTGTCTCCACAGTACTGGTCTATCTCTGAGTCTGCAACCTAGGAATAGCAAATCAGTGTATGTGGAATGAAAGTTAGAATGCCATGGGCTCATAGAGCAGGAAAAGACTTTGGCCTAGGCAAAGCTATTTTTTTATTGTTCAATTACAGTTGTCCCCATTTTTCCCCTATTATTTCCCCCTGCCCTACCCATCCCCCACATACCACATTCAATCCTCTCCCCCATTGTCTTTGACCATGGGTCCTTTAAACATGTTCCTTGACTTGACCATTCCCCTTCTTTCCCCCGTAATTACCCCCTCTCTGGTCATTGTCACTTTGTTGTTTATTTCCATGTGTCTGGTTCTATTGTGCTTGCTTGTTTGTTTTGTTGATTAAGTTCCACTTACAGGTGAGATCATATGGTTTTTGTCTTTCACTGCCTGGCTTATTTCACTTAACAGAGTGCTCTCCAGTTCCATCCATGCTGTTGTGAAAGGTAGGAGTGCATTCTTTCTTTCTGCTGAGAAATATTCCATTGTGTAAATGTACCACAGTATTTTTTGATCCACTCATTTACTGATGGGCAATTAGGCTGTTTCCTCATGGCTATTGTAAATAATGCTGCTATGAACATTGAAGTGCATAAATTCTTTTGAATTGATGTTTCAGGATTCTTAGGGTATAATCCCAGCAGTGGAATTGCTGGGTGAAAAGGCAGTTTCATTTTTAGCTTTTTGAGGAAATTCCATACTGTTTTCCACAGTGGATGTGCCAGTCTGCATTCCAACCAACAGTGTGCTAGGGTTCTCTTCTCCACAACCTCGCCAGCATTTGTTGTTTGTTGATTGTTTATGATGGCCATTCTGACTGGTATGAAGCGGTATCCCATTGTGGTTTTAATTTGCATCTCTCTCATGGTTAGTGATGCTGAGCATCCTTTCATATGTCTCTAGGCCCTGTGTATGTCCTCCTTGGAGAAGTGTTTGTTCAGGCCATTTGCCGATTTCTTAATTGGACCATTTGTCTTCCTGATGTGGAGCCATGTGAATTCTTTATATGCTCTGGAGATCAATCCCTTATCTAAAGTATCATTGGACAATATGTTTTCCCACATGGTTGGCTCCATTTTCATTTTGCTGATGTCTTCTTTAGCCTTGCACAAGCTTTTTAATTTAATGAGGTCCTATTTGCTTATTCTTTCCTTTATATCCCTTGCTCTAGGGGACACCTTGGTGAAAATATTGGTGCATGGAATATATGAGAGTTTCCTGCCTATGTTTTCATCTAGGACTTTTATGGTGTAATGACTTATATTTAAGCCTTTTAACTACATTTAGTTTATTTTTGTGTATGGTGTAACTTGGTGGTAAAGTTTCATTTTTTTGCCTGTAGGTGTCCAGCTCTCCCAACACCACTTGTTGAAGAGGCTATTTTTACTCTACTTTATGCTTCTGCCCCCTTTGTCAAATATTAATTGACCATAGAGACATGGATTTATTTCTGGGATCTCTGTTCTGTTCCATTGATCTATGTGTCTGTTCTTTTTTTTTTTCTTTTTTTTCTTAATAGTTAAGAGATTTTATTCTAATAGCTATAATTACAGTGCTTGTCGAAATGAAAACTGAAAACAAGGATACAAAAACAGTTGATTACTAATTGTGTATTGAAAGCAGTAAGAGGTTTCATGACACCAGATAAACCAGTTCTGAGGTTTCCCCCAAGATAAAGTTTAACAGCTCCAGCTTCTTCAGTGTTTATCAAACTACAAAAGAAAAAAGTAGAGGTTGTTGATTTTGATGTCAAATCTGACCCTTGCAGGCTGAGGGAGTGAAAGCACATGTGGACAGGGGCTCTGAGGAGCTAGGCTCTAAGATGACCGGTCACCTGTCCGTGCTCCTACAGTAAGACCCAGACAACCTGGAGCGACTGAGCGTGCATGGAAACATGGGAAGGCTCCTGCTCTGGCCAGAGTGATCCCACCAAAGCACCTACACCAACCCAAGGGAAGGCCGGGGTCCCTCCAAGGGGTCTGTGAGTGGTGGCCACAGGCCCCTGCACTTCCCCAGGGCAGCAGTGTAAGCACAGGTACAAACAAATGCTATGGGATGCGGAAGACCCAGTGAGACAGCCATTCAGGGACCGTAAGTGACCATGCAGAATGTTTTATGGCTGGATCTGCCCATCGCATGCTCCAGACGGGAGAGACCACAAGTAGACTGGACTCAAGCCATTACTGCAGAACCTACACTAGGCACATTTCTCCCTTCTCTGTGTTCAAGTGTCTCTTTATCTTGTATTTGTACTATTTTAAAAAATGCACTGAGTTTGGGTTAAAAACCAACCATCAAAATGGATCTCAACACAGATCTAAAGCCCAGAGAAGGAGCGCTGGACTGATCTGACAGCAACTCCTAGAGGCCCCGGGTGCCTAAAATCCCTTCTCAGTACTGGATAATGAGTTGATTCTCATTTTACAATAAAAAAAGCTGAGTAATATTGCATAGGAGTACTAGAAACTGCCTCATTGGAAACAAGAACTATTTACATTAAATAAAAACCCGGTTGCAGGCTGTGTCTGCACATGTACAGCATAGTGAAGCACACTAGGGCCAACCATGGAGACAGCTCCTGGCACTCACACCACAGGGCACGGCTGCCACATGAGAGGAAAGAGAGGGTAAAGGAGGGAGTGAGGGGGGAGAGAAGAGTGCAGCTCACTTCTGGTTCCTGAGCTGATTGGACAGTCAGTCCAGTCCCTCATAGAGCCAGTCCCCACTGGTGGCACAGGTAGCCTGAATGTACCAGTTCCTGTGGCGCAGTGAGTGCAGGCCCAGCTTGTCCGTGATCTCGGTCGCATTCATGGCAGTGGGGAGGTCCTCCTTGTTTGCGAACATGAGCAGGACAGCATCCCTGAGCTCGTCCTCTGCCAGCATCTGCATGAGCTCCTCTCGGGCCTTGTTCACGCGTGCTTGGTCATTGCTGTTAACCACAAAGATGAGAACTTGTGTGTTCTGGAAGTAGTGGTGCCAAAGAGGCTAGATCTTGTCCTGACCACCTATGTCCCTTACGGTAAAGGGGATGTTCTTGGTACTCCACAGTTTCCATGTTGAAACCTACGGTGGGGATGGTGGTCACGATCTCACCCAGCTTCAGTTTGTACAGGATGGTGGTCTTCCCCGCAGCATCCAGGCCCATCATGAGAATGCGCATTTCTTTTTTGCCAAAAAGGCCCTTAAAGATGTTTGCAAAGATATTCCCCATGCTGCAGACCGGAGGGAGAGACACTGGCCAGAGAAACCCTGGGCATCCACCATGATGCTGCTGCTCGGAGCCTATTTGTCTGTTCTTATGTCAGTACCAGACTGTTTATTACAGTGGCCTTGGAACAGAGTTTGATGACAGGTATTGTGATTCCTCCTCATTTCTTCTTCTTTCTCAAAATTGCTGCAGCTATTTGGGGCCATTTATGGTTCCATATAAATTTTTGAAATGTTTGTTCTATATCTGTGAAAAATGTCATTGGTATTTTCATAGGGTTTGCACTGAATCTATAAATTGCTTTGGGTAGTATGAACATTTTGATGATGTTAATTATTCCAATCCATGAACACAGTATATTGTTCCACTTATTTGTGTCTTCCTTAATTTCTTTCTTCAATTTATGTAGTTTTCTGAGTATAGGACTTTGCATCCTTGGTTAAGTTTATTCCTACGCACTTTATTTTTCTTGTTGCTAAAGAAAATGAGACATTTTCCTGTTTCTGTTTCAGATATTTCATTGTTGGTGTACAAAAATGCCTTCTATTTCTGAATATTTACTTTGTATCCTGCTGTTTTGCCAAATTCACTTATTAGGTTGAGTAGTTTTTTGCTGGAGTCTATAGGGTTTTCTATGTACATTATCATGTGATCTGTAAACACTGACAGTTTTACTTCCTCCTTTCCAATTTGGATGCCTTCTATTTCTTTTTCTTGTCTAATCAGGATGGCTAAAACTTCCAATACTATGTTGAATAGAAGTGGTGAAAGCAGACTACTTTGTCTTGTTCCTGATCTTAGTAGGAAAGCTTTTAGTTTTTACCCATGGGGTGTGATACTGGCTATATGTTTCTCATATATGGCCTTTATTATGTTGAGGTATGCTCCCTCTAATCCCACTTTGCTGAGTGTTTTTTATTGTAAATTGGTGTTGTACCTTATCAAGTTCTTTTTCAGCAGCTATTGATATGATCATGTGATTTTTGTCTTCCTTGTGTTTATGTGATGTATTATGTTTATTGATTTGTGAATATTGTGCTATCCTTGTATCCCTGGAGTGAATCCCACTTGATTGTGGTGGATGATCTTTTTAATGTATTGCTGGATGTGGTTTGCCAATATTCTGTTGAGGATTTTAGCATCTATGTTCATCAGCGATATTGGCCTGTAGTTTTCTTTCTTTCTTGTGTTTCTATCTGGTTTTGGGATTAGGATAATGCTGGCCACATAAAAAGAATTTGGGAGTCTCCCCTCTTTTTGGATTTTTTGGAATAATCTGGGAAGGATAGGGGTTAGCTCTTCCTTAAATGTTTTGTAAAATTCTCCTGTGAAACCGTCCAGTCCAGGGCTTTAGTGTACCAGGAGTTTTTTGATTATTGCTTCAATTTCACCAGCTGTTCAGGCTATTGGTCTGTTCAGGCTTTCTTCCTTATCTTGATGAGGAAGACTTTATGTTTGTAGAAATTTGTCCATTTCACCCAGGTTTTCAAATTTCTTCGCATATAATTGTTCATAGTTATTTCTAACTATCCTTTTTATTTTTGTGGTATTGATTGTAATTTATCTTCTTTCCTTTCTGATTTTAATTTATTTGGGTCCTCTTTCTTTTTTTCCTTATGAGTCTGGTTAAAGGCTTGTCATTTTTTTAAATTTTTTCAAAGAGTCATTTCCTGGATTTATTGATCCTTTGAGTTGTTCTTTTACTCTCTCTGTCATTCAATTCTGCTCTGATGTTGGTTATTTCCTTCCTTCTACTCTCTCTGGGCTTTGCTGTTGTTCCTCCAGTTCTTGTAGATGTAGGTTAGGTTATTTATTTGAAATGTTTCTATATATTTTTAGGTAATCCTGTATTGCAATGAGCTTCCCTCTCTGAGTGCCTTCACTGTATCCCATAGGTTTGGGGCTGCTGTGTGTCCATTTTCATTTGTTTCCCAAAACTTTTTGATTTCTTCCTTGATCTCATTATTAATCCATTCATTGTTTGATAGTATGCTATTCAGTCTTCATGAATTTGAGTGTTTCTGAGTATTTTGCTTGAGGTTGGTTTCTAGTTTCAAGCCCTTGTGATCCAAGAAAAAGCTAGGTATGATTTCAATGTTCTTGAATTTGTTGAGGCTTGTTTTGTGTCTTATCATGCGGTCTATCTTTGAAAATATGCATTTGAAAGGAATGTGTGTTTTGCTTCTTTGGGATGAAAGCAAACCAAGGATGAAAGGTTTGTATATATTAGTTAAGTCCATATGATCTAGTGTGTCATTCAATGCCACAATATCCTTGTTGATATTTTGTTTGGAAGATTTATACAATGTTTACAGCGCGGTGTTAAATTCCCCTACTATAAGTGTGTTGCTGTCTACATCTTTCTTGAAGTTCTCCAAGACTTTCCTTATATATTTGGGTGCTCCTATGTTGGATGTATATATGTTTACAATGTTTATGTTTTCTTAATGGATTTTTACTTTGACTATTATGAAATGTCCTTCTGTGTGTCCTTTTATGGCCTTTGTTTTGAAGTGAATTTTGTCTGATAAGTATTGCTCCTTCAGCTTTTTTTTTTTTCCTGTTTATTTGCTTGGAGTATTTGTTCCAATCTGTCACTCTCAGTCTGTGTAGGTCTTTTGTTCTGAGGTAGGTTTCTTGTAGGCAGCGTATGTTCAGGTCATGTTTCCTTATCCATTTCACTACCCTATGTCTTTTGATTGGAGCATTTAGTCCATTTAGATTTAAGGTTACTATTGATAGCTGCTTATTCTTTGCCACTTTACCCCCTTTGTACCTGTGTTCCTCCATCTTTCACTCTGTTTATTCGCCTTCTTAAAGTAGCCATTTTATTGGCATATCTTGGAATGCTGGTTCAGTAGAGGTATATTCTTTTAGCCTTCTTTTGTCTGGAAAACTCCTTATTTTGCCTTCCATTTTAATTGAAAGCCTTGCTGGGTAGAGTAGTCTTGGTTCAAGCCCTTTGCTTTTCATCACTTGGAATATTTCTTGCCATTCCCTTCTGGCTTGTAGTGTTTCTGTTGAGAAGTCAGCTGCTAGCCTTATGGAGCTCCCTTGCATGTCACTTCCTGTTTCTCCAATGCTGCCTTTAAGATTCTCTCTTTGTCTTTGAATTTTGCCATTTTAATTATGATGTATCTTGGAATGGGCCTCTTTGGATTCCTCCTGATTGAGACCCTCTGTGCTTCCTGGACTTATATGACTTTTTCTCTCATCAAATTAGGGAAGTTTTCCATCATTACTTTTTCAAACAGGTTCTCTGTCCCTTGCTCCTGTTCCTCTCCTTCTGGTATCCTTATTATACAGATATTATTACATTTCAGGTTGTCCTGCATTTCCCTAAATGCCTCTTCATTCTTTTTGAATCTTTTTTAATTTTCTTGCTCTTTCTGGGAGCTTTTTTCTATCTTGTCCTTCAGCTCTCTGCTTTGATCCTCTGCTTCATCTAGCCTGCTTTTGATCCCTTCTACTGTGTTCTTCAATTCAGATGTTGTATTCTTCATTTCCTTCTGGCTCTTATTGATAATTTATATTCTTCTTCATACTGATGTAGTTCACAGTAACTTCCTTGTAGCTTCTCTGTAGTTTTTTTGTAATTCTAACTAAGCTCATTGAGCTTCCTTATAACTGCTATTTGAACTCAATATCTGATAGTTGATTTGCTTCTATTTCATTTAGCACCCTTTCTTGGATTAGTCTTTTCATTTTGATTGGGGGTTGTTTCTTTGTCTCCCCATTTTAGTGGAGACTCTTGTTTGCTGTGCTTCGTAAATTGATCTGCTTTGACTCCATGTCTTTGTGGTGTAAACTTCTATGATAGGAGACTTGTGTGATTCAGTGTTGTAGTCTCCTTTATCTCCTGAACTTGATGTTCTTGTGATGCCCTCTAAAGTGCTATTTATGTTGGCTCTCTGGATGTAATTACATTTTGATTGTTTTTGCATCATTCTTCGGTGGGCCCTTCCCTCCAGCTTGTTGACTGAGGGTCACTCCACCCTCCACATCTTGTATGCTGTTGTGCAGCTGCTCCCAAAACAAAACCACAAAGCCCAGGAAACAAACCCACACCCACCAGAATAACTCACTTGCAATCCCATTATCCACAGCAAATGAACCAGTATTAATAATGTTGTAAAGAGATTAAGACTATTATAAAGCAGAGCAAATATAAGATGACCTACTGAAAGAAAAATGATTTTGAGAGGGTAGAGGGAAGACCACTAATAAGAGTAGGGAATTGGAGAAATGAGAAGAGAAAAAGTAAAATTTACATCATTGATAAAAAAGGGAATGAAGAAGGTGGAATGGAGTAAGAGATGGGAAGCTTATAATTTAAATATATACATAAATTTAAAATAATATAAAGTGACAGGGAGAAAGAAAAAAGTAAATTAATACGAAAAAATAGGAACCAAGTTGGAGAAAAAGATCTACCACACCACCACCACCAACAAATGAGCCAAAATTAATATAGGTGGGATGGGAATAAGAGGGAAAATAGAAAAGCTTAGAGATGTCTTGATGAAAGAGAAGTGATTTTGAGATGATAGAGAGAGAGGGCATACTCAGAGTGATGGACAAAAACCAGGCTAACAGAGGAAAAAATTAAAACTTGAGACCAAAAAAAGAGTAGGAGAGGGGAATGGTAAAGTTTAACTTTTGAAATACAAAAACAGTGAAGATCTAGGGATAAAATTGAAAAAATGCAACAACAGCTACCTTATCCAAAACCAATGAGCAAAGATTGCTAAAGGTGAAGAGAGAACACGGATATTTTAAGAGCAGAAAAAAGAATGTGATATGACCACTGACAAGAAAATTGGTTTTGAGAGGCTGGAAGAGGTAGGAACAGTAGGAGTATAAAATGGAAACAAGTTGTACCAAGAGAGGAAACAAAATTTAAAATAAAAATACTAAGGGGAAAGAAGCAGGTAAAATGGAGTAAGAGAAGGGAGAAGCAAGATATGTGAATTGAAATAAACTATAATATAAATCTAGTGACTTGATATACACAACTTGAAGGACAAGAAATGAATGTTAA